CTGAATATATAATATATATAAGAATTCTTATAAATATATAAGAATGTTTTAAATGAAAGCATAAATCAAAGCATACCTTTTACTACATTAGTAAATTTAATACCATTTTCTACAATACTTTAACCATTGTATCTAATAATAGACATGTCTCAGTTCAAGACATGTTTACCATAGCCTTAAGGCAACAATTATCTTCACTGCATTATAAACTTCAATCTCAGATTTCCAGGTTTATTATAAGAAACACAAGGATGAAGGAAAATAGGACATACTTCACATTATCATCCTTTCGTAGGCCTGTATACCACTCAGAAGGCCCAGTCACAGACTAGGACCTTATTTTGATAACTGGACATCACATAGAAAGGATCTCTGGAGTCAAAGGCTCACCACTGCTGTTGAATGATGAGTATCACGCCCATGTTGCAGTGTCAACTGAATACCATCAACCAAGGAAAGCAAACTGTAATGTGAAAGTTGATTTTCCCATTTATACGTGCATATAAATGTTTCCGTGAAATGCACACTCCGTGGTGTGCAAAGAAGTGCCTGTCCTATGTATTTGCTCACACTCTTGCAAAATTACTACTTCCTTATTCTTTAAAGAGAAAAATCACCCTGAAGAATGATCAGCCATCAGTTAAAATGGAACTAAGATTTGATCTTTAGTGTATTAGCTGGGAGATTCAATTTTTGTTGCCCTTGAGACCAGGAGGTGTTTTGCATATTACATTCCTACTGAAAATTGTTCCAAGCAAAAATAATTAAGTTTTCACTTGCCTAAATACAGAGATACATCTACTCTGCAACAAAAATACAAAGCAATATCCAGTAAACCAACAAAATCTTTATTTAAAAAGTATTATGACTAGCCAGGGAAAACAGGTTTTGGGGGTTTTTAATGTCATCATGTAATATTAATCCAAATTTTAAATATTTAAATGTTTCTCTAATATCTTTTTCTCTAATAAAAGCATTTTGTTTTGCTGTTGCCAGTGTAAATGACTAATAGTGCTACTGGATTCAGGTCTCTCACAATGCTCAGAAAAAGCAAATTTCAGATAGCAATTCATTAATTCATACTCAAATAACCTAGGGGAGTTAATGTCGAGAATATCTTCTGATTTTGTGCAAAGCAGAACTTACTAAAAAGAACTGTAAAAGTCAGAACTGGGATCTCATTTCCAGACTTTGGATGGAAGTTCCTTTCCTTTAATTTATCAACATTCCTTTCCTTCCATTTATCACCTCACTCCTTTATTTAATCTCTCCAGTTCCTCTTTCTCCTTGCAGTAGGCCAGATTTGTGCTAACAATCTGATGAGGGACAAGGGCATTAAAGTTGTCACCAGTGGCAGCTGTGAATGCTTTCGACATGAAGGAATCTTTGGCTCCTCCAGCATAAGAGTACTATTTAATTGCATGAGACACTGGAATCTATTTGAAAGATGCTCCTTGCCATCAATACCCATAGAATACACATAACGTTTCCAGGCATTCATGCTATGCAGGGTAAAATTCAAACTAAGGCAACTTGTAACTACCTTAAAGCTGCTCTTAATTATCCTGGTGGGGAGGAGGAATCCTTTACTCACCTGCCTTACATTTAAACTCCTTACTTTCAGTTTTCATGCACTGCAGAACTGGCCCAGCCTGCATCTCAGCTCACATGCTACCACTGTTTTTGCCACTACGTTCTGCACAAATATAATGCTTCTCTTTCCATTTGTCAAGAACGTACCTATATATACATGCAAATTCAGTAAATTTTTGGCCATTTATTTCTGCTGGTCCTTACTACTGTGATATCTGCATGATAATTTGGTATAATAGCACTTCCATCTTAACACTTTTCAAAGACAGATATAAATGTCAAATTATCCAAAGTAAACTAAACTTTATTCTCTCCCATTCTTTAATTTAAAAGCCGTTCCTTAAGTTTAGTAGTTACTGAACTAGTGGACAGTCTAATACACACCAATATTCCTTGAACCTGTAACTTCCCCAGCCACAGCAACAATCTACACATCTGTCATCACCACTGCTGGACTGACTTTCTTCATGCTGCAGGCTATTGGGGAAGGCCATGTTAACCAATCCTATTTTCAGATCTCTCTTCCCATGTTCTTAGAAGTGATTCTTGATTATTTCCAAGCTAGGTATCAGTTGCTCCTATCAACGTGTCTGAACCAGTCAGAGTATTTTTTTCTTTTTTTACATAGCAAATACACCTTATTCCTCAGGGCTAAGAGTGAAGTCTTGAGCCCAGAATGAGGATGCCTATCCCTACACAAGTTATTATTTTGCAAAGAAATACTCATTTCCTTCAAAGTGAATGCATGCACTAGTAGCTTTGTGTGTGCCTCTGTGTGTGTACATGTCATATCTGTTTTATTTTTTGCTATAATAGAGGGTGAAGACATTGTTATTTCCTATATAGTACAGTAAGTACAATAAATAGAAAAAACCCTTGAAATGCTAATGCCATTAAAGAAAGTAGGCAATTCACCGAAGAAACACAGATAACACTTCACAAAATGGAATCTGAACAGTGTTCTGCTTTGATTCAGAGTAGAAACTCCTCGCTCTTAAATGTGCCTTTTGCCTAATGAATGTATTCAGAGTTTCACCCAGGTTATCTGAAACAGGAAATCAATTAACCTTTGAACAGGGGGATGTTGCGTGAAAGGCCACATTGTTCAAAGAGGGTATTTTGATGCAAGGGAAAAAGATGGCTAAGTGGAATTATAAAATAAAATACTGAAGGACTCTGAAATACATTATCAGTACTTTCATCAAAGGCATGGGTGTCAGTAACTGGGACAATGTTTTCAGTGCACAGAATCTTATCTCACACTGTACAGTACACAAAAAGAAAAAAATTTTAAGAATGTTCCAAACCAAGCATAAGCCCCAATTTACTACGCTACCTTTTCTTTATCTTATTTAGATAGGTAATTAGGTATTGTATGTTTCTAGACATACTAACTCTAAACATCAGTAGAATTACAGATAGATAACACGGAATACCTGAACTCGTGTTTTTTTACAAAAAGGATATTTTTTCAGCATGTATAGAGTAGCCAGTCTTGAAGCTCGAAAGTTGGCTCTGACAGATCGATAAACGGCTTTCCGGAGACCGATAAGATGCTGACTAGGATGCTGTCCAGCTTTATTAAATGGGCAAGCGGCACTGACCCTGTCAAGCAAACTTGAAAAGTAAAATGTGATACAACTGTACAGATGTCCTAAAGTATTTTTAAAAGACAGTACATCAGTTTTCTTATTCCATTACTTAGAAAACTTTTTCAAACCACTCAGTAACTATGAGAGAGAAAAAAAAAAATCTATCATATAAATTATATATTTAATCAAAATTTCAGATAAGCAGCCAGGATTCCTCAGTAGACAGCCTGATTCTAGTCTCATCTGAGCCATGGCAAAACTCCTGAGGACATTTGTTTTCTCCTAAGTTTTCCAAACTGGTACATTAAGGGTAGACAGGCCATAACATTATCTCCGATACAAAACTATCACAAGCCCACTGTAAGCTTTGGAAGTTTTAACCCACAGATATTTAACATATACCTCTTTATATGCAAATTTGTTCTTTAAATAATTTTTGCAGAAAAAATGTGCTACTACATATTGTTTTTCATGCAAAACACTATATTCTTTCAGCCTTCTCCATGCAGAATCTTCTCTAGGTCAACAGAAATATTATTTGAGTGGTGACATAGATTTTATCATCATGCAATGAATGACAGCTGTGTTTGTGGGAGTCTGACAGGTATGAAATGTATGCAACTACACAAGCATATTTGAAAATATATTTTGGTGTCCACATATTCAGGTGAATATACCATTTAAAAGAAACTGTGCCATTTGTCTATTAGAATATACTTCTGAACGGCTTTAGAATTATAAGAAATTGCCTCAGCTGGAAATAAACTGAATTGTGAACCGGGTGAATGTTAAACGTGCCTGTGTAACATTAAGCTGTAGAAAAGGAAAAAAAGATTAATATCCAGTTATATGTATTCATATACAGTCTGACGCAAAACCTATGACTGAGACACTGAAAATAGCCTAGGTGCACTCTACTTGCTGGGACTGTTTTTACTAGAATCAACTCAAGAATGGACATAGTGTGGACAACAGGACAATGAATTGTGATGAATTGTTTGGGGACTGCAAACCTGCTTCTGCTCTCACCTTTCCCAGGGCACGGTCAGCAGATGATTTCATGTCCATAGTCACTTAAAAGGGAAAAGCATACAGGGTACCTGGCAAGACTGAGATGGGTTGCTGCATTGGTAACTATTTCTGTAGCCCATCTGACTGAAGAGCTGACTAAGCCAGCAAACCTGACCCTGCTGGAAAAACATCAGTCCTACTGCATGTGCTTAGCTGCACCATGCTGCACATTGACGGGGAGGGGAAATAGCTTATCGCCTTCACTGTCAAATAGAAAAAGCAATGCAGCCCACCCAGTGAGCAAGGCTGGACCCATATCAGTATGTTAAATATGATTAACACAAGGAGATTCATGCCAAATACTGCAGTATCTTGAATAAGCTAACTGAAATACCATATGAAATTATCTGTGTACCATATGAAATTACGAGTGATATTAAAATGGTTTATATAACATCTCATAAACTACTTTAAAATTGGAATAAAATAAAAACAAACTGTGTTAATTTGAATTTCTAAATATATATTTAAAATGCTAGTCTTGCCATACATTTCACTAGGGAACACAGCATGTAATGTAGTACATGCCAATCTCTAAAGTTTCCCTAGCTTTTGAAGGTAACAACTGGAAGTGTTTATGGATAAACTTTCACATCAGTTCGCAGACTCAAGCCCTGGGTGAATTGTCAGAAGCAGGCTCAAAGAAAAGGAGCAAAATTCTTCTACCATAAAAAACAGAGAGAGAGAGATCTATGTTCCGCTACAGCAATGTAAGCATTTCCAGCTCCTATACAGAACAAATACAGCACAACTCATGCACAGCATGTGCTGCCAGTATTCAGCAAAACAATTTGCTTTCCTTCTGGGAAGGCTTGTTTCAGTGTTTTTTTTATAAAATAATTCTTCTTTATTCCAGTAATCTTAAATTAGTATAACTTGCTATAAATGTCTATGTGCCAGACATGCCATATCCCTAACTTCCTAATGTTCCATTTATCTTCTATATATTTTAATTGGACTTATAAAATGTTATCAGCTTTGTGTATCAGCCACGAATAGCAAGAAGAAAAAAAGGTTAAGGGTGAATTTCGTTCTTCCTACTGCTCCAAACCTATTTTACTTGTAAAGAACAGTGACTTATTTCTCCATTAATCTCACAAGCTAAATTTTAAATAGGGTCTAAACTTTTAACAAACTTGTATAGACACATTAATAAAAACCTACTACTGTATTCCAACATGAAAGCAGTTCTACAAAGATACTATATACACCAATATGTGCTTGTAGAGCTTGCTTCTCGTTTAAAATATAGTAGAAAGGGAGCATTTTGGAGAAAAGCCAATTATTTCAGTGACAGACAAGGAAATAACTACTTGCTGCTTATTGCTTTCATTATGTATTCCTACAGTTTTAATTTTACAAGGTACAAGACAATGGACATACTTTCATTACCCAGTGGAAATTCCAGGCTGCAACCCATGATCAGGCTTCATTTGCCTAATCGCAAATGAAGAAATTAGACAGAAATACTGCCATTTTGCCCGAGTAGAGCAGTGCCCTACCTTGGCTACACAATTTCTGTAATCCAAACTACCCTGGTGAGGTCTCGGCCATCTCTGCATCGCAGAGGTTGTACCACACAGACATACCTGAAATGCCAACAGCAGCATGAAACACTTCTGAAGGCCATTCTGAAATCAGAATATCCAGTTGCCTTTGACAGCAGCTAATGTAAGAGAGGCCTGACAGGGTTCTTGGTTCCTTTCTTAAGTGGCTGCTGTGGGGTTTTTTTGGGTGGGAGGGGAATGGAGGCAAAACGATGCTTGAATTGGTTAAGCATATAGCAGTCACTACCACACAGTAGTAAACCAGTGGACAACTGACCAAAACCTCATCAAGAATAATTTAACATTTACAGAGACAGTCAAATATCAGTTAAGAAGGGACAAATAGGGTAGAATAAAGCAAAGCCACAGATATTTCAAAGCATATGTAAATTAGCCTACAGGAACATAGCAATGGATGGTGCAATGGGGAGAGAAAACAGTGGTGGAAAGCAAGGCACTTCAGGCCAAAGCTGCAGACCTGGGCTTGCCATATCAGCGTTTAGCTAAGTACAGCTAGCCAAAATCTGAAGTCAGTACTATTTAAATGTTAGCTTCAGTATCTTTCCATTCACAACATGGTTAATGCACAGGCCAAACCATGCTGAGCTAGCGGTATATTAAAACAGCAGCATACATATCATTAGACAGGATGCTGTGCTACCTGGTTGAAATCCCATTCCTTCAAGGATGTAAAATGACACAAGAAGATACTCATTAACTTCTTAGCTGCAACCACTTCTATTGCCATGTGGCTCTTTCTGAACAAGCATTAAGACTTTGACAAGGTTACTACAGGAGAACATACTAAACTTTGTTCTGCTAAGGTTTATTGTAGCAAAGTTCTGGAAGAAAAAAGGGGTAGCTAGATTTTTGGATCATACATGAAGCGCTATCTCAAGCAAAGAATTTCATGGTGCCCTGTGCAGCAGCATCTCTTGCATATGTGGATGCAGAAAAGGACACTCTGGAGTTAGAACTTCCTCCAGGCTAAACCAAACCAAAACCAGTACAGCACTGACTTCTTCATACTGGACAATTGTTCCAATGAGGATACTGGCACAGTCAGACTTCTCCCACTCCATCCATACTCCAAAGTCTTTTGAAAAGCTTGCCAAAGTTTTAAGTAAAGAGGCTATTAGATCAAGCATCAGCTTAAAGACCAGTCTGGTTTTTGTTAATCTGTTATCTAAGATATGTAGTAAAAGAACAAGGCACCAGCAATTTAGACATTGACCACAAGTTCGTTTGCTTAAACTTAGGAAAAAATCCAAATGTTTTTCTCATCTGTAATTTAGACAAGCCCTAACAATAATTTCTTTTAAGAACCCGTTTGCAAAGATAAGACTGCCTGTTGCTTAACTATATGCTTCTTCAGCAAAAAACCAAAACAAAACACATAGCTAGGCAGACTGAAGACATGCTTATGCATTCCAAAGGGAGAATGAAACATTTCTTCAGTGAAGCATACTGAAGGTATCTCAAGCTAGAAAATTAATTCAAAATGTTAAGTCTACAGTTTCAAGCTTGCATGTAAAAACATGTGCCTGAGCACAGAACAGTTGGTTTGGCATGAACAAACAAATTCTTGGTGCACACAAAGGAATTTTTTATTGTTTTTAGAAAGAAGTCGACTGGATTTTAGCTGTTGGCATTTCCCACCTCCTTTAACCTTAAGTCTAACTGGCACAGGTAGGTATCTAACCATAGGCCGTTACAAGGAAAAAGCATACATGGCAATGAGAGTGCACAGAAACAGGCCTGTTGGCTTTGGAATCATTGCATACACTGAACATGTTCTGATGTCCTTTAACATGGCAAAAAAGCAAAAATTACCAAATAGCTACAAGAGCTAAATAACCAGGAACACTTTCATATCCCTTAAGTGGATGAGAGCCAAATTCAGCAGTAAATGATTTAAGAATCTAAACATCTCAACAACTGTATGCAAGAAAAAACAGTAATGTAAACTTTATTTGAGGTGGGAAATGACCTTTGATGGTCTTTGCTGATTGCTGTGTTCTCATTACTTCAGACTGTTATTTGTTAAATAAGAATAGAATGGTTTTTGTGTCATCTTGTTTTCTAAAATATTAATCTAAAATATGAATGATTATCTGCAGGTCAGTTTATTTACATAGATTCGGTAATATAAGATACAAAATCCCTCAACCAACCAACCTTCTAAATGACTCCCCAAAATAGTTAGCTAAGTTGGTTCAAAATCCATTTCTTCATGTATTTCATTGCTAGCATAGCAGGAGATTTCAAATGCATACGACTTTTGTGATACTTAAGTCTCCTTCAGGATGCAGGGTTTTAACATTGAGTTATTAGAATTCATACTTTTAGCTTTAAGTATTATGTTGTTCAGTAATTTCACTTGTTATGGGAGACTGTAACAAGACAATTTTAGAAGACATCTGGCTTGAATGGGTCTGTGTATTAAATAAAGTGAAATATAGACTCACAGGGTAAATCCTCTGGAAATTACTTCAGTCTCTTGAATGAGTCGTAGAGCTTTCCTCACGAGATTAGTAAAAGCTCGGCTATTCGCCACTGTTTCTTCCAGCTGGATACAGTATTTTCGCAGGGACATTTGCAGCTTGGCTGTCCTCCATGTGCCCCACACTCGAAAGACTGCGTAGACAAGCAGAACTAGTCCCCACAGCAGCCACGATGATTCCTTCCACCATGAAGGAAGCATAAGGACTGCACTTACAAAGGCAAGTAACAGCGAGACATCCCTGCAAACAGAGAAAGTATCATCAACCACAGATTCCCGAGGTCAAACAAGTGGGAAAATCATGAAGCTTTCAGTTACATTTGAGATTACGATATCTTATTACGGGGCTTTTATGTAGGTTCTGAAGGGAGCTGTAAACGCCAAAAACTACTGCTAGTGGCAGATTTAGATGTATACATACATGATATTACTTGGTCAGTATACTCTAAGGAAACATTTATCCGGCTTTTTTATGGCACAAATAAAAGAATAATGTACCACTGTGAAAGGTCAGCTTCTCTTACACATAAGACTTCAAAAAAAAAAAAAGAGAGAGAGAGAGAGAAAAGAAAATAGAAAAAGAAAAAAACCTGACTACTCAGCATTATAAGCCAGGGTGGGTAGGAACTGGAATATCTGTACTTCCAGGTTCAAGAGTACAGTAGGGAAGGGCATGTTTCTTTTGGTAACAAAACTCTCAACTAATGCCAGCTTTATTTTTTCCAGATTCTGACTCATTTAACTTGGACACCAACACACCACTAGTTTTTAACACATCTTTATAAAGATGGCTTGAATAATAATTTTAAATAATTTGACAGCTTTTGAAAATCCTTAAAGAACAGAGTTACTAGTATCTCAGTTCAGTTATTTCTCAAGGACATTTTAAAAACTTCATAAAGCTGTTATTTTCATCTAGAAAAATTCAACAAAAGTAAGTAACTGCTAGAAAATATACTGTGTTTCATATATAGTTGCAGTTTTGTAAAATTATGACAGTCTTCACAGAAATGGATGGGATATGGGCTTCAAGGTGCATAACAACTTTTATTTTTTCAGAACTTTTTGAAAGAAAAATATACACCTTCTTCAGCCCTTCAAGCTGCATATCCTGTATTTAGTTTTGGAAGTATTCACAAGAAATATTTTGCCATTTCTAAAATAAGACATGATCTCTGGGTTTCTATTTTCTGGACAGTTTTGTGGTCATATTTCAACACGCTTTATAAGTGTTAACTCTTCAGGGCTACTGATAGGTTTCACTAAAGGCCCAGGGTTAAAATACTCCAGATATGTAATTGACTTGAAAAGGGGCACACACAGACTATAACTTCCTTGGCACATTAAAAAAAAAAAAAAAAAAAATCACACACACAAAAAAGGTATCGCAACAATGAAAGACTGGAAGGGATTTAAGAGCTCACTTTTGTCCATTTTCAGTTTCTGGTTAATCCAGATTATCATGGACAAACTGAAGAAGAAAATGGAGACTCTACAACTCACCCAGGCAGCTATTCCAACTTGTAAGTATCCTTAGAGTTCAAAAGATTTCCCCCAAGTCCAGTCTGAATCATGGGCAAATTAATCGCATTATTTTTCCTCGTATCCTTCCCTTTTCTGAACAGAATAAACAAGAACTGATCTCCAGCTTCTTATTAACTACCTTCTACACATTGTAACACTGTTCCAGCCCACCTCAATTTTCTCCATTTTGGCCAAACAATCCCAGCACACTCTAATTTAGTTTCTGAAAGATTACATTTTCTAAACTCATTATGCTTCTTGTTCTGCTCTGGACTGTCTCTAAATTACCTATGCCTCTCCAAGTGTAGCATCCAAAAACCAGATGCTGTAGTCTAATACAAGGCTTAGGGAAACAGACAGGAAAGTAAACCCCTGTGCCCTGCATATAACAAGGACACCAGGATAAGATTTGCCATTTTTTGAATAATTTGCTGACACATTCAATTTATGCTCTGCAATAATGTGCAGATCCTTGTCTGAAGTAGTACTGCCTACACAATTACTCACCACTTTGTGTTTTTTAGTTTGATTTTTCCTTCCCAAGTGTAACATTACACTTTTGTCTTTATTGACTTTTCTATTGATTTCAAGATATTTCTCCAAGCTACTTTTGAAATCCATTCTGCCAAAACACTTACAAACTTGGTGTCATCTGTAAGTTGAGCAATATTCACAAATTTTCTAAGTGTACTTTATCATCTGAACAGTTAAAGAAACAATGAATAGTGCTAGGACCAGGACAAACCACTGGGAAGATCTGGTTCAAAAGTTCTCGTTTGACAGAGAGCATCAATAATGACATGTTACAACTTAAACAGTTGGAGTTTTTAAACCTGCTGTGGCTTTATAATAATTTCATCTATTTTCCTAACATATGCATGAAAACAGCACTGGGCTGTGTTATGAGATATTTTTATCTACTGATTCCTGTCCATTTCTGAGCAAGTCACTCTCTCAGAACACCCACCATCCTTGTTATTTTTCAAATATAGGTGGCAGCTGATCAGACACTGCTGGAGCTAGCTCCTTCAGTATTCTAGGGTGAATTTCACCAGCCTCTGCTGACTTGAATGCATCTTATTTAAACATTTTTTAGTTTGTTATTCTGGTATTCTACGTCTGAAAATTAATTGCATACACACCCCCAACATATTTTATGAAGACCACAGCAAAGAAAACACTTTTCAGTTCAGTCTTCACAATCATGTCTCATTTATGAAAATCACCATTGTATAGCTTCAGAAATTAATGAATTAATCAACTGTGTTAGTTCTTCCTTATAGCACATATTAGGGTTTGGAAGTATCCATTCATGTTCATGTAGCTTTCTCAGATTAAAACTCACTCTTTCAATAAAGCGCCTGAGGAAAAAAACATGCTTATACAAAAATTTGGGGACTACTGGACCAAAGACTCAAAGACCTGAGAAAAAAAGTAGTTACTTTATTGCTGCATTTTATATAAAGAACACACAATATATTTTTTGCTTGTTTCTCATTAATATAGTGGTAGATATTCTCTATACAATACCAAATATTAGGCGTTGCTAGGGAGCGTAGCGTTGGAAGCTGTCCGTTTTCCTGTTGCTTACACTGCCCTGCAGACAGGATACTGGGGTCAAGGAACTCAATCAGTTCCACATCCTCCTGCAGCAGAACTTCCTGTTGCAGGATGGTACGGAGCGTGTCAAATCGAAATCCAACATCCTTACCACAAACGGGCAAGAGAAAAAACTGACATTAATAAAGAATATGCAAATTCTTAAAATTAAGTTAGCAGAACAAGGAAAAAACCCAGACACTCTTCACTTTACTGACAACAATCCATCCCCAAAGACTACAGCAATGTTTCAGGTATATCACAAGTAGCTACTTCATTTTTAGTCAACTTGCTTAACTTTAGAAACTCGCATACTACCTAACAGTTCAGACTTGCAGGATGCATTGCACTGATTTTGTGATCTGACCTAGATAGTAACACTACCTGGAAACATGCCACAGATTATGCCAATATATTTGTGCAAGAATCAGAGAGGTACTATATCTATTAGAAGATCATTAATAAAACAGCAAACACTTTTTTTTTAAAAAAAAAATGTCATGACATAATTTACGTCATTAACAAACAAACAAAAATTAGAAAGAGAGATATTACAAAAAAGTCATCTGTGGACATTTAATAACAGTAGGGTCAATGCACTGGACTCAAGCCCCCAGTCAAGGCAGTGAAGTCCTCTCCTGCAGGATTCTGTGCCTTTCCCAAGGGAACTCAATCCCAACATGAAACAACATGGGACTCTGAAGACCTCACACTTGCTAAACTCCAGGCAAACTTCAGGGAGTTACTTACTTGTGGATTTGATGCCATGATAAGCATTT